CGTTTTGGCATGAAATATGCAAGTTTATTTCCTTCTCTGTTCGATAAATCAGCACGAAAAACTGATAAAATTGCAAAAACGACACACCGAATCAACACCCAAAACCATCCCCCAATTAAACTTCCCCCACGTCGCTATAGTCCAAACCAGCAACAAGCAATTCGTGATTTCTGCAAAACCCATGAGGGTTCAATTATAAGAAAGAGCAAAGGACCTTGGGCAGCCCCTCTTGTATTAATACCAAAGAAAAGTTCCAACTATAGCGACCAGGTTATTTGGCGAATCTGCGTTGATTATCGCGAATTAAACAAAGTCACCAAAAAGCATGCCCACCCCCTTCCAAACGCTCAAGATGAAATACAAAGAGCTGCAGGACACAAATGGTATGCATTTCTTGACCTCGAAAACGGATTCTGGCAAATACGCATGCACGCTAATGACTGTGAAAAAACCGCTTTTGTCACCCCATTTGGAATATACGAATGGATGGTAATGCCTTTTGGCCTATGCAATGCGCCTGCAACATTTCAAGGCTTTATTGAAGAAGTCTTGGAACCATTTCGCCTTTTCACGGCGGGCTTACTGGATGATGTAGCAATTTGGGGAGATTCAATTGACCAGTTAAACACTCATCTACTCTCTGTTCTATCTCGCTTCGCAGAATATGGTCTAATTCTCAATCCTTCCAAATGTCGCCTATTTGTGCCTGGCGGAGTATTCCTAGGTTTTTCAATCTCCGAAAAAGGTATTGCTGCAGATCCTGAAAAAGTCTCCGCTATCCGCAACAGACCTTTACCTACCACGACATCCGAAATAAGAGGATTTGTCAGCGCAGCAAGTTACTTGAGGTGCCTTATTAAGAATTTCTCCAAATTAGCAGGTCCTCTCACAGATCAATCCACAGGACCAAAGAACAAGCCGGTTATATTAACACAGGAAGCAATTGACTCGTGGATGTCTATAAAAGAAGCTATGTCAACCGCCCCATTAATCAAAAAATTCGACTGGCGCCTACCAATAGTTGTCGAGACAGACGCATCTCAGAAATATGTCGGCGCCGTACTCTTGCAACCTCACGATCTCCTAGTTGAGGAAGAAACAAAAGCTATTCTGCACCCAATAGCTTATTTCTCTCAAAAGCTGAACGATACACAGCAAAGATACTCTGCTCAAGAACGCGAATTACTTGGAATTCTCCTGGCATTGCGACATTGGCGACACTGGGTAGAAGGAAGCAAAGTCACTGTTATAACAGACCATGAATCACTCAGGTCTATTCAAACAAAAGTTGAGCAGCCAGCGCGTATCCTCCGATTCCTTGATTCGGTTGAACATTACGGTATACGTATTCTGTATAGAAAAGGAAAAGCGAATGTGCTCGCAGATTTTCTCTCCAGACCATCAGAAGAAGCTTACCCTTTGGAAGAAAACGAAAGGGATACTGGAGTGGAATTAACAAACGACCCCAATCTAATCGAAACGCCAGATCTGCCAATGGTGAAAAACCCTGAAGAATTAAATCGCGTTGACCTTAGTTGTATCTATGAGTTCTTATTCCACAATCAACGCTTACCGATTAATCTCCATCCTGCATGGGTCAATAAAAACTTCGTAATCTATGATGCTAAGCTACACCGAGTTATAATGAATCCAATGACTGATGTCGGCGATCCGCCAACTTCGTCTGGGAAAGCAATATTTCTCGAAGTCTTAGAATATGAAGATTTAATCACTAAGTCAAGACAAATACACGAGACTCTAGGTCATCCATCTGTTGGTACAACGATCCGCGAAACAACCAAGACATACTGGCATCCTCAACTTATTCTAGCCGTACATGAAGTCATTCGCACATGTATATCTTGCCAACTTATGAAACCTCCCGACCCAAGCATAGGCGACCTAAGACCAATACAACCAGCACCCCCACTCACCCGCTGGGGAATAGATCACACGCAAGTAGGTTCACGAATTCTTCTCAATGCAGTTGAGTACGCTACGGGATGGCTGGAATCACGATTCGTACCTAACGCTGACTTTGTTAATACCGTCCCTTTATTTCTGCACATAATTCATGTTTTTGGGACACCAAAGCAAGTTATAAGCGACAATGCCAATTGCTTCAGTGGACACGAAGCACAGCAGTTTCAGATAAAGCACGGATTTACAATGTCTCATACAACTCCAGCCAGACCTCGTGGCAATGGAAAGGTAGAACAAGCCAATGGTGTTCTCAAGGGAATACTGGCTCGTGAAATTCTTGATAATCCCAAGGGACCACTAGATAGATCACTATCACGCGCGGTAACTATATACAATCGCCGTATATCACCTTCAGGTTACAGTCCTTATTTCCTACTCTTTGGAACACAACCTCCGGAAGCAGAACTTGTATACCCAATATACACCCGAGAAGCCACACAGACAGAAGAACAAGAATGGGTTAAGGAATTGGTTAACTTTCAAGCTGCACCCATTGCTAGATCGTACGTAAATAGCATGAAAGCTTCCAGGGCCAAAACTCGTGAATATTTACAAGAGTCCAAAGCATTAATAAGAATATATGCACCCGGTGACTGGGTACTAAGAGTCCGGCAAAGAAGACATAAATTTGAACCTTTCTACGACGGGCCTTGGGCCATCGCTGAATGCCATTCCGGTAACACATATTCTCTGGTGTCACCTGGAGGATACAAAATGGCAAATCGTTACAATGGATCCAATCTCTTCCCAGCATATACTCGCGACGGCCATCCTGTACGAAGCTTGTGGTACGGAAGTCAAAGAATGTTAGACCAGGATAGAAGGCAATTAAAATCCGCAGTAGGAATCTAAGTGTATCAAAAGCAAACCTTGAGTTGAGGACAACTCTTAATTGAGAAGAGGAGTGATTGAGGATCCAAGATTGACAGACCTCTAGATTAGTACGAGGCTCTAATAAATTGTAATGCTTATGTAATGTTGTTCATGTTGGAGTCCGGGCGCAAGATTAGGAATACTGTACTTATATAGACGATACCCTGTATTAATAGAAAACCAAGTTACATCTAGTCTTAAGCTCTATTATACATATTAGTAGATTGGAGCCACGAGACACCCGTAACCTACGCCATCTTAAAGCTAAGCTTATCTCACTTTTCACACATACTAATCCATCAGGAACCTCAATTGTATAATTCCTTTCGAGTTGAAAACCATCCCCATAATTTTGACTTTCATGGAATATCATTGGATAGTACCCTTTGCTTGCATAACTAGTCGATGAACTAGACATGGGCCTGCATGAAGACTAAACCAATCTAATCAATAGGCACTGGGATATAATCCCAGTCATTTTGATAATTTTACCTTTGCCATCCATAAGAGACTGTTTCTCTTCGCGCTTAACAAACGCGCGCTTCCTGCAGGGAGTCCTGGTTAATGATAGGATCTTCGATTTCGGCGTAACACCGCATACACTGATGTTCCACGGTCTCGGAGTATGGAATCCCAACTGTCGGTTAAAGGATCGTATCTAGACATTATGAATTTTATTATGTAAATGCGATATTCAGGATGTTGTTATGATCCTGACAGGGATCTGACTTAGCTCATTAGCGAGTTACTTGGGGGAGAGAAAGAAGAGAGAAACACTGATTTGTGAATTTCGAGATACCAGTTGACTTACTTTATTCACCAACTTCGTGACGGCAACAGGTTTGTGTAGCCTCGTGTTTTACCAACATTAACCCTTTTTACGGAAATCCCAGACTTCCCAAGGAGATGAGGACGAAGCACAGTGAGGAGACCATCCTCCCGTCACTTAACAAGGAAAAGAAAGGAAGAAAGTAGGGCCTACAAACTATATTTCTTTTTTCCATCGAGATGAGAAGATGTTGGATTTGACCACACATGCTTATCAGCATTAAACTGCTGCTGGGCGTCGCTCATTTTCAGGTTAGTTGGGATCCCGGGGCAAATTACAGCGAAGAACTTTGTTTAGTCCAGCCATTGTACAGGTTTTGATGCTCCTATCGGGGTCCGAAAAACGAACTTGGATTTGTCTTAATAGACCCTGGCTGATCTGGGGAAGTGTTTATGTGATCAGCCTACAGTGAAGGAAAGGTATAGGAGACTTGAGTTGGGTGCAGCTTCAAGTCGTGTGGGTAGGGTAATGATTGGAGCGGGCATGGTGAACTGCGAAATCTCCGTTTCTAGAGCGGGCAGCGTGAATGTGTTTTATTGATTGTACTACTCGAGTCTATGACCATCTAGCAAATTGCACTTCTCTCCCACCCAGGATACACCTTGTACAATTATCCTATCCTCTTTTGTTACTTAAAAGATCTTTGATATTTTGTCCATGATGGATATCCATCTAGGCGGGTAGCGTATTTGTGAGAGGGTGTGGTGTTCAGGGAGTAGCGATTCCGCGTGATAGTCTACGAGGCACTCAATTCCAAATCTTGATGTAATGTGAGATATTCTGTGCTCAATACTTTATGTAAGCGATTGTTGTTGTTGTTGTTGATGTTGTTGACTCAATAATTTTCAGAGTCAAATGTAAGCCGGAACGGGAGTGTTATAGTACGTCAGAGGCCTATGCTATTTTAAGGTCTGAATCGTGCGGCACGCGACAAAGATCATGACCTTTACACTGGCACGACCTTGACTTTTATTTATGTTAAATGATTATGAGAATCATGCTCCTTGACCATGAGATGTGTAAAAGTCCTCGATAGCTAGCAGCGTAGGTGTAGGCCCTTTGACACACTCTAGCGCATACATACTTCTAGGAAAAGTCCGACAAACCAAATAAGGGAGCAATTAGCGCTGGCGGCCATGCTTGTACGCCGTAAAGTGGACAGGGGGAGCTCTAGCTTTGCGTCCTGTCGGATCACAAACATATCAAAAATATATAAACAAACAATAACAGTTGAATCATAACCTGACAACAAACACCACTTCTTGTACACTGTAACTATCTTCACAGCTCACTCATAACACCACCATTTCACTAGATGGATTCACTCGTTGAACTATGGATACACACCAACCAAAACCCACTTGATTCAATACTTGATGAGTTCAGGGTCAAGTATAATCTTCATAATAATCAAATTACTGGTGAATATTCCTTGCAAATCTCAGAGGTAAAAGCCTATCGTGAAATAATCTGCGAATTGATAAGTGATTTGAGGGCCCATATCAGGAAGTTCAGACACTTCGCCGCTATTACGGCTCTTCACAGTCAGCTAGACTCCTTAATTACCCAGATAATCACCAAGAATGTCCCTGCCTCAGAATTTGAAGAATTAGTCGCTTCGATCTACAAACCTGCCAGTGATCGTAAAATTTGGCACATCGTCATCAATATCGCCAATCGCTTCGTCGGAGAACGTCCAACAGTCGGGCCAGTCACAAAAATACCTCTCATGACAACTACGTTCTCATGGGCTAATAACTTTCAATACGATTCAGAAATGCTACACTACGCCGAAAGAGTCGCTTCTCTCCCAATAGTTCTCAAATCCGAACTCACTGGTATGATATTCAGATACGTCGATAATTTCTGGGAGGAACATTTCGAAAATAAAACATGGTCTGACTTGACGAGACGCATTTGGGAAAACTTCCACGAAAATAGACAATGTGGATCCGATAACTTGTTCTGGGTCAAAATGAACGAAGAAGCGAAGCGAAGCTGGCTACACGCGTTCCAAGATCGTTTCCCAAATCATCTATTGACCCCAATGGATAATGCAGAAGAGGACCTCCTCGACGTGTGTAGAAAGCGGGAAGATCCTTTTCTGCCGGGCAAATTTTCTCATAACATTCCAGATAAACAACATGCTGGCGTTCTCAGAGTACGGCAAATTGACTTTTTGGTTGAGAGCTCTGATATCGCTGAGAGTATGGAGCATAAATGGAGGGACGTCAGAGTTGTGGGCGAATTAGCTTCGTCAAGGTCTCAATTAGGTAAAAGTAAGTATCAACTAATGAGGTGCATGAGAGAAATATTCTACGGGCAGCCACTTCGTCGATTTGTGCATGGGCTCTGTGTGTACCAAAACTATGTCGAGTTCTGGATTGTCGATCGGGCGGGCGCATACAACTCGGTCAAAGTGGACATGACGAAAAGTCAAGAAAAACTGATACGAGGCCTATCCTCGTATATGCTCATGAGTGACAAAGAACTTGGGCTAGATCCAATTATCAGTCACGATGATGTTGATCAACGTTTCATCACAATTTCAGGAGACCAAAAACTACGAAAACAAATCAAGGTTTACCCTGTACCTATAGCTCGACCAGGAACTATAGGCTCACGAGGGAATGCGTGCTACATGAAGGACAATATGCAACTGATGAAGTTTTCTTGGTGCTCTGATGCAAAGCAAATTAAAACCGGAAATTCAGAACCTGACATAAATCCGTCCGGCATTGTCCGGTTGAAGAGGTCTTTGGATATATCCGAAGTCGAGACTCGCCAAAAGAGGATTAAGATTTCAAGGGGTCAAAAATCGAATACTAATAGCAGTGAAAAATATCTCTCCCGTGGAACTACGATAAATTTACCGTCCAGGAAATATTCCATTAACCGTGAACTCACGCTCGCCATACTTAAGCCATCGTGTCGCCCCTTTAGGTCTTCAACGGTCCGGGAGTTTATCGTAGGCATACGTGATGTCATTATTTGGCATCGTAATTTATATCAAAAAGGGATAGTTCTTGGTGATGTTACAGCAGGAAATATCGTTCAGACCAGGTCTAATGAAATGGGCGCGAAAAAAGGGTTTCTTATTGACTTCGACTTAATTTCGTTGCGTCAATACAATGAAAAATATGATCTAATGAAATCTTTATCACGTCCCATCCAGTACTTGGCACTGGAACTTTTACATAGTATAGCTGGACATGACTTCTCCCAAAAAAAAACCTATCGTCATGATCTCGAATCATTTTTTTACGTTCTCATAATCGGATGCATGAGTTATGGTCGTGACTCGATTCCCAAGCATCTGAAGAGCTGGTCATCCGACAGAATCCTCACCAGTCTCTCCAAGAAGCATGCCCATGTAGTAATAGATTTTGAAGAAAAAATCATAAGCTATTTTATGCCGAAGTTTGAAGGTGTCAAGGAACTAGCACGGACATTCCATCATATTCTGTTTGGAGATAGACATGTAAGCTATGGATCGCCGAGAAATCATAATGTACTTTATGGTCCAATAATTACTGCCTTTAACGACACTATTAGAAGACTCGAATGTAAGAAATATTTTCCATACAAATCCAATCACTGTCCACTTTTTTTGCAGAGTTGCTGACCAAATTCATCATCTACCATAGACGCTGTCCTAGAAGAGAACAAGGATGATAGAATTGAGATAAAAGTAGCGATGGAATTAGAGACCTCCAAGAAACGATGCAAAGATGCAAAGACAAAGAGTTAGAGAGTGTCTCGAGACAAATATTTGTATTTTTATCTACAAGATCCCAAGATGGGGTTTAATGAACGATAACAAAGTGAACAGGACTGTAACCAAATGTTCAACGATAATGTGTAAAAAGACTCTCAGGGCTTAAGTTTCAAGAAAATTATCACGCTGATTTTGTATGACAATTTCGTCGTCACTGGCTAAAATTAAGTTGGTATTTGCAAACACAATGCCTTTAAGAGATAGATATCTCTGTCGGTTGGCCTTAACGTGCATACACGTAGTGTGAATCGAATGCAAAATGAAAGGATCAAAAGTGAAGTGTGTATTGTCACCATCTTCTCTATCCAAGAACAATGCGAGCGTAGAGTTCGCGCTATTAGCTGAGTCACCAAGACAATGACTCAGCAACGGAGAGATGCACCACGCTTAGTGCATTGCAAAAAAGCTAATTCCCGACAATCTCAGCCTTTTGTTTTGCATGAAAGTTGATGTACAATGGAGACAGAAGTCATACATGCCTCTCCAGCTAAAGTAGTTTAAATGGGTGAAGGTTGTGTTTAATTTTTTACAACGCCCAAATGAGCATCGTTGGTGCTGGCAAATGCTTGAAATCCCTACTCGAAGCGCCCCAACCTCTAGACATGGCAGGTGGCCACTTTATTTTTTTTGCATCAAATTTTAATTGCGTATTCAGCTATCTAGCTATGACACAATATCAGAGAAAAGTACAGAAAAGATGACTCAATTTACGATAGGAGCACTCTTGCCTTCGATTTGGTTTGCAAGCACCACTCCGAAGTTATGGCGGCATTTTCCTCACCCCAAGTCAACCCTCATTCGTGAATACCCACCCAGGGGAACGTCTCAAAAACCCTGAGTTATCCAGACATGCCTCCGTCATCCATCAACTTTTCTCCGCGCGAAATTTAATCTGAGATGTCTCCTTCCCAAGTGGAGTAGGTGCCCAGGCTAATCAGACTATACCGGAGAGCACCACCAGTAGGCAGATCACTGCACCTTCCATTGTTGGCTTGTGTTTATAGTGTCAGCTCCACTCTCGCAAGCAAATTCCTGGCGTGCACAAAGCTCAATCCGTAAAACTCCATGGCAAAATTTGGAATATCACGCACTTCGAGATTAAATCCGTCCTTTGCATCATCGTATAAACTTGTCCTGATCCCTCTAATTAGAATGGTTCCGGAAATTGTAAGAATGACATATCAAGTTTGAGGATGAAGATGAGTTAGAGTTATGATGAGTTTGTTTAATGCACGACGAAGTCTACTGATACTTAATGGATAGTTAATTGTGATTAAATTGCTGTAATTCTACATGTGTGGCGAGAAGTTCCTCGACCAACATGAAAGCGGGATTTTCCGCACACTAGTGTGAACTCCAACATACTTCCTAATCTAATCTAGATGGGAAGGTTGTTGGAGATCCTGAGGCCAATGTATGCTGTCAGGCATCTATTGGCTAATTACTATTCATGCCAGTGAGTGATGATATGGGTTAATCACATCTCATGGCGCCAGTGCATATTATTCTAATATGTACTATTTATCTACTGCAGTAATGTTGCTGCCTTAATTACAACACCTCTCACGTCCATCCCAAAGAACTGTCTCCCCGATTTGTGCGCCACGCTTTGCTTCCTCCGTCGGGTATAAATGTCGGCGTGGGGGTATATCTGGCGACCAGCTAAGGCCAGAGAAAGTCGGAGAGGTGTGGTCATTGGGATGAGGATGTACTTGGTCGTACTTGTGGGCTTGATGAGACTAAAGTAGGATTCAAATTCGTTGGGAGCGAAAAAACGACTTGGAGGAGTAATTTCAATTATTGCCTCGTGGGCCAACTTGTTTGACATTGCGAAATTTGACTAAACTTGGCTCTGGGAAAATATTTCACTACCAGGTTCGTGGAGGACACCGCGTACAGGAATTCAGTCTTGTCCTCCTAGATCCAGGATCGCTCACCTGGGATACTACACTTAAGTGATTGAGACATTGCAGCGACGCGACTCGGACCGCGCGCTAGCCACCGAACAGCGAAAGCCTCTCATGAGAGATGGACTCATGAGCTGCAGCGTTTTACCTAGAAACGCTGTTGGCAGTAAGTCATGAGAGAGAACTTAGACAATGACATGGGTCATATTAGAGTATATAAGTAGTTTGTGTTCTATCTCACAAATTGCATCGGAAAATGTATCGAACACCTGCCAGCAATCAACTTATCTATTCCTCAATCATCTCAAACAGAATCAGTGACAAGTGACGAGCCACTATGTTCCTATTTAAATTATAACCTTAGCACCCTCTTTTCGTCCAACCTCGGCCGGGGGCATTAATAACTCGATCTACGACGAATCGCCATCGATGAAATACGTACTCCATCTAGCCGGAACATCTAGTAGAGCATTTGAGAAATGCTGAATCATAGGTGTCTTGGTTTCGAGCACTTTGACCCAAGTTCGGCATCCACGGTTGAGGGTACGGCAGCGACGTGACAAGGCCGAAAAGATGGAGAATCTTTAAAGTTTATACGATGGCAATATTGTCAAATGATTTAAGGAAAGCTACAAGGGAGGAAGAGAAGGAAGAAAAATTGAGGATGCCTCTGTAGGCGGCTGGATGAGACGTAAATGAAGAAAACAATTATTCGATAAGATGACAAAATGCTGAGATGAATAATGACCGTCAGTAATAGAAAGGAAAAACAACACAACGTAATAGTGTCAAGGTCTCGGGCGCGTGGTGGACGTGTCTGGGTTTGCCCTTCGACGCGTCAGAGTCGGGTTCTGGATCGGGATGGATTCGACATGCTTAACACATGGTTGAGGTCTGACGTGTTTTTGTCAATCAGAAGTGCCGCGGTTTATTCTACTTGCATCATAATCAACTTGATCCAGCAGGGTCATTCCTGTGCTCAAGCACTCAAACGAGTGCAGAAGATGCTAATTTATCGTGATTATGAGGAGGGGAATTGCATATAAACAGCGGCTTTATCAATATGTGCTTGACACTATTATGAATTGGATGATGATATGTGTTCGCTTTATTAGATTTGTTTCCTGATGATAACTATTTATGTGAACAAGAATACTCCTATTTATACCTAAAGCTCATCTATCTAATTCCTAGTAGAATATTCCATCTTGTGATGTAAGATATTCTATCACATGCTAAAGAGTAATTTACATTCTTGTTCAAACCATCCACATGTAACTGTTATGATGACACTACGCCAACCACATCTTGTATAGATGTCTTTATCATCTAATACAGCTTGTCTAATTGGCTGAGTGATTTCACATCATAACACAATTTCCTAGCAAGTTAATAAACCAAAAATTAGATCTTTATGCTCAATACATCATAGTTCGTGATTACAGAGGTTAATTTAAATCCACTCAGATCTCCATGGTTGTTGGAAAATTTGCTCTTGGATAATTGCAGTCCCGTTCACTGAGGCAAAGATCCATCATCATATATTTAGGCAGAGGATAATTAAAAGATTTAAATATTCTTCGAGCATAACTCTCTAACTGTACATCCTTGGCCCAGTACACTTTTCATCATATTCTTCTAACTCTATGCTTCAATCCGAATACAATCATCTTTATTTCTTTCGCGAACATCAGCTATCGAACATGATGGACAACGTTAGCAAACATATAAATAAGAGGACCATAATTAAACTTGAATTGAAAACTTTCTCACCTTCGAGTTTCCGGATAGTGTCATCGAAGGCACGAATTATAGGATCGTACAGCACGTTAGGATTTTCCGGTGTCCCGTATCCAACCGATTTATCATCAAAGAGTATTTGGCGAAGACTCAGTGCCAGCTCCTGAACACATTCAAACACGGGCGTGAAGTAATTTAATATTTTTTTTTGAAAATGAAGTATGATATCACTTTGCTTTGATGTGAAACAAAACCTAGTGTTATCCGAATGCCAGTATTGGAGATGTTTTGGTGCTTCTTTACGACAATAGCTCATACATCCAGCTATGAGAACGTAAAAGAATGATTCAAGATCATGACGGTAAGTTTGCTTTAGGGTGTATTCCTTCTCGTCAATAGCTTCTAAAAGTTCCAGCGCCATATACTTTTTGATGCCACTCATAGCTTTAGGACAATCCCAATCGTCGTGGTTCCGACGCAAAGAAGCCATATCTAAATCAACCAGAAAGCCTTTGCTAACACCTCTTTCGTCTGGCTTAGACAGAATGATATTTTCTGCCATAAAGTCATCTAGAATCATCCCGCTTTCATATAAGTTGCGATGTCCAATGATAGCATCACGTATGCCGGCTACAAACTCTCGGACCGTTGAAGAAGTCTCAAGTGGGCGACATGATGGTGAAAGCATAGTGAGAATAAGCTGACGGTTGATGCAAAGTTCTTCTGTCCGTGTCATAGTAGTATTAACAAGGGAGAGATTTTGTTCGCATCTATCCATTTGCAAATTTTGGTCATTCGAAAATTTGATCTTTTTCTGGTGAGTCTCGGCTTCATTGAGATTGACCGACGTCTCCGTGCAGGTTCAGCTGGACGTGTATTTTGCAGATTATAGAGGTCTACTCCTGTACTGCTTTAGGACCGGATCCCCATGAGTAAATTTATCAAATACTTGTCGTTATTTGCCTTGTTGTCAGTTTGTTTTTGTTTTTATTATTTTGTCCTAAGCTAATGCTATATTTTCCCTAATGGGCCTTAAAGCCAGTGTTTCGTTGTGGCGAATGGATACAGGGTACACCCCAATCCGCTCTAGTGGATTTTAGTCGTCTGCATTCAAAGAGACACCAATCAGCAATGATGAAAATAATTATTAATCCTGCCCCCTACAGTAGATTCTGAAAATTGAAAAGCAGCGAAGTTCAATCATAGTCGACATTATGGATGACAAAAATAAAGCTTCCAGAAACCTCTATTTCCCCTCCGCAAAAACATGACAAGGGTCCAAAGAAGCCAATCTATCCAAATTTGAAGCGAGCACATTGGGCTTAACGCGTATTTACACAAAAGAAAAGTATCAGGAGTCTACTAATCATGCTCTCCGTGTGGCTGCCAATCACAAAATCCCAAGCATTTGATCATGTCCGACCCTAGGTGGTCAATTGGTAGAGGAGGGATATGGACAAAATCCCGATAACGCTCCTTTGAACCAATGACAAATAATACTGGCGACGTGACAGGAATCACGCAATGGGGTTTCCGGTCATGGTTGGACAAAACAATTCAGCAAGACAAATACGATTGAAATGCTGCTTAGGGAACGAGATAGGATAGGCACAAGTTTGGGGTCGTGGCAGGGGATGTGGTTGGTATAGAAAGATGGCATCAAAGTGTAATTGTGCTTCCTGAAGGACAGATTTCAAATTCAAGAAATAAAACAGAAAGTCGGGGATATTTTCACCGAGAGGTTTCCTACAATGTAAATATATAGATGGGTTTGAAGCTATCTTAATGAGTCCACAGGGCGCCAAATCAGGTTAATGAAATCAAATTCAAAAAACTGTTTCCAGCCCAAGTTCCGTGTCATTCGGGAGACGAAACTCAAAACCTGTTAGTGGCATCACCTACTAACCTCCGGAACTCACAGCAGATTCTACAGAGCCGAGATTGAATGTTATCTTTTCAACTTTGAGCTGAATTATCTCCCCCTCCGTCAAAGATACGCTGCCGATAACACATAAGACGACCAAGAAGATGATTATGATGCCAGGAATGAGAAAAGATAATGCGGTACCAAACGCTACAACAGTAGTCAGAGAAGCCCTCGTTATGTTACAACATGTGCTACCTAACGGCCGGCGAACAAAGAGCCCACGAAAGCAGAGTAAAAGACCCTTCCGCCATCAAGAAAAGTAGATTTCGACCCAACAACAATATAGTCTCTTCTAAACTACATTCCCAAATCTAATAGCCATGAGGCTTACGAAATACATGAGCTACTCGAAAACTCCAACTCCATACCGAATTTCGGATTCTTGGCTAGGTTTCTTTACGGCAGTCACTCTCGACCAAGACATTTCTGATATCCTTTACGACTCTCGGTTTGCCCTGCGGCATGAATCAGGGAAAGAGGAAGGAGGAGGCCGGGAAGGTTGAGAGACGATCTTAGGCATACGCAGGTCTGCTGCTGCTGCGCCCGGCTGGACGGCCTCTTCGTATCAGGAGAGCCCCGCAGATAGTGTGTTGTGTTGGTGATGCTTAGGATTACGATGCACAAGGGTAATGATCACTGAGGGTGAAGGAAGAACTTTCCAGGTGGCTTCATGATGAATAGAGGAACAATAGATCACTGTATAGAAAGTGTTTCTTGACTGTACTGCCAGATGGAGGAGACTAGAATATTCCGTGATACTATTTTGGGTAAATGAGGCGAGAGTCTAGCTACCTCAGATGTGTATACAATTGGCGCTTTCTACCTCCTAAATCCTCATTGTTCTGAATATCAAATATATCAGCAGTTCACATTGATTCATCGATAATCATCGATAATCATCCGTAAACCTTCTGCCAATTGACCTCCGTAAGCTTTTATCTTTACAACATAGTGGTTTTGGGACATTTCCCTGCAGCTGAATACCCACGAATGGCCATTGTTTCGTTGGATAGAGAGGGGAGATAACGACGGTATAAAGGCTCCTCTTAGTGTGTGCCCAAATCAGGACGTGTGGGGGTATTACTGCTTGAAAGATGTTGTGAGAGAAGAATACGACGGAGAAAACTACCCGAGACACATATTCCCGGCCTGCAGGCAGAACGGAGCTACATGTCCTTACATAGTCATACACTCTTTAGGACAATAAACACACGTAATATCTAATCACAAAATGCCTACAGAGTTCGTAAAGTCTGTTGTAGATTTGTCAATGACTCCTCCAATCCAAACACAAAAATCCTAATGTTACAAGCACGCTAGTAGATGATCACATATTGTAATTCGCAATAATTTTTCCAACGCCGTATCCTTTGACCTGAATATACGATATCGCGGCGAAGGTGTGCCAGCATTTTCGTCGCAACGTCAACCGTTGATGACACTATCCTAATTTGGCTCAACTTAGTAATCTAGGCCATATCAATGGCGTCGCCGAGCTGGCATGAACAGATCCTTCATCTTCCCGAGGTGCCGGTGTAGTCGCTCAGTATGCTTGCATATCTGGCATAGCCAAGCAGAATCGCATCCGAATCGAAGTTGAATGCAAACTCATGCATATCTAAAATCGGCGACTTCACATAAATACCGGTCTTGTCATTCTCACGAGAGTCCTCTAGCCTACCTATAGCGCAAACCAACTCGCCTCAACTACTGATAGAGGCCTTATTCTAATTGCAATCGGGCATTGGCCTCACCAAAAATCGGCTGTCCACACTTCGAAGTTACGATGCTGTGCATACCCACGATTAGGGAACCAAATCAGAATGTACAAATCTCTGGCCTTGGTCTACGGGGGACTGCGGTTTGAATGGGGCTTGACACCTTTAGGGAAGACAGGTAGCTGGGACTTGGGACGAACGAGTGAGGAGGTCACAAATAGGCACGCTGGAACGCTGGAACGCATATTTATTGAGTATTTTCGACTTACGAGTGTCTGTGGGCTCAGAGGCAACGATTAGGATAGTGCTACCGACACTTGAAATACTGGTAACGCTGGAGGGCGTTGTGGTCAGCGTCCTGGTCGTCATCTCCCCGAATCAAAGTCCGGGTAGCCTGGACACCTACCTAACTCGAGAAAGGGATAACTGTGAGATCATGACTCGCGCGGTGGCTATATACAAGATAGCAAAGGCAAGTACGAGTAGCCAAAGGTTTTTCCTGTTTTCACTCTCGTGGATATTATCAGTTGAGGGAGGGGCGGGAGTCTCCAGCATAAAAGTCTCGGGTGGTATCAGCGAATGCACCCACTACATGAGTGATCCAAACGTCATACTGAGTTATCATCTTATATAGTCGTCGGGGAAGGACTAACCTTATGTCGTGCCATATGAGGGCAGGGCTTGTGCCAGCCGCGAATAAAAATCTATACATCTGCCCTTGCAGACATCCTAAAAAATCATATCCGTTGTCCCAAATCTAGTAGGACACCAGTATACCATGCAGTCTGACCACTGGAACAAAGTGAAGCACGCGACTCCCTGCTTGTTGCCGACCACAAATAAGTATGGCCTGGCTGGTTAAAGACTTCGTCTTTTTTTGGGCCACGTCCGTGATAGCCTTCACGGCCAAACGGCACCATTTTCGAGTGGATTGAGAGAAGAATCCCGAATTTACGGGGGTATCACTGTGAGATACATGACGTGTCATGGTGCTCCTGTGCTGGACGAGCTTGTACGGAGGAGTCACTTGCAGAAATATTTAATATGCGCATGCGCCTATTCATATTCAACCTTGATGCAATTCGGAAACGTAATTACCTGTCAAGCTGAGTGTTCCCCTGGTCGCAGTCGCACGGGAAGCAACTACAAACTTATTCCGGGGCCTGGTCGGCATAGTTGCCTTGGCATCAGTGTATTAATTTATTAGTGATTCTTCTCAAGGAAATAATGGCCCCTCAGTCATTGAGGTTGTGGAGCGCAATGATTCAAGTAACTCCCGAAGTGAAACTAAGTACAGAATCTGCAGTCACGTGTGTCTCGAAAACGTGGCCTACTTGCTAGCTCCAATTATTCTAATTTCTAATAATTCTTGAAATTATTAGGCACATGAAATGGAATAAAGCGATCCCGTCCACGGCTCGCCCGGAGTGAAATTACCACGAGCCATGAGATTACTCAAGCCTAAGGTAGAACTGTACCTACCGTCATCTGACCAGGTCTCGATGGTGCGATGGGAGATTGCGGCATAGTCCGCCTTTATGATCCTTGGAGTCAGGGAGATATATGGAGATTACAAGGCAAAAGTTATTAAAAAGTCTTGGATCTACGAATCCTTAATCCACACCACCCTCCCGTTTCCAGTGTTTCCCTCCGAGCCCATGAATTGCCAAGAATTGAACCATTCTACGCGAACTTGAGCGTTATTGGGAAATTCGACCGACAAATTTAACTTGATGTGGAGCCGAATCCCTCAACGAGGGAGTAGCATGGCTACAAATGTCTGGCGTTGAAGTCCGTTTCTTCGCCGATGTAAGTTTACCTTTGCCACTTGCACAAACTCTCCACTCGAAAACATGCACCTTCCAGCTTACGTTATCACGGCTCTTTTCTTCGGCAGCGCCCATGCTCTTTTGAAAGGATTTAATGCGCAAATAAGGACGGCCAAAGGAGCATGCAAAACCAAGGCAGATTGGATAGTAGATTTCAATACAATAAAGTCGTTTCCGGGAGATTTCGACAGTATACGATTATTCTCCGTCAAAGATTGCAACGCACTCGGCAGCATCGCACCAGCTGCCATTGCCACAGGCGGCAAAGTTTTTGCTGGAGTTTCGGCTCAAAATCCGGAAATTTTTGAAGCAGAAAAAAGCCGACTGCTAGAAGCCGTAAAAAAACATGGCTTTAGATGGCTTGGGGCCGTGTCGGTGGGGAGCGGAGAGCTCGACAATGATGTGCTAACGGCCGATGGGCTCGTTGAAAAAATCAAAGATATCCGTCATATGCTCTCTGGGGTTCCAGGATACACAGAAAATGTTCCAGTCGGACATGTTGATAGCTGGATTGCCTGGAACCAGAATAGCAATACTCCCGTCATACAGGCCTGTGATTTTATCGGCACCAATACATATCCACGCATTCAGGCCGACAATTCGGATTCGATAAGAGGCGGCGTCCAATCTTTCTACAACTCTCTCAACGATATGTTGCGCAGAATCTCGGAAACTGGCTCTCGTGCCTCAGTCTGGGTTACCGAAGGTGAATGGCCCTCTGCTCCTTATCTAGAGAATCAAAGGGAGCCCGACGTCGTAGTCGCCGAGGTAAACTGGAAAATCATTGCCTGCGAAGTCTTCCGTAGATATAGCACCTTTTGGAATTATTTGCAACATCAGGGAAACCCCAAGTTTGGTGTTCTCGATTCGAATGGCACGCCACTGTACGACCTATCTTGCTAAGCCTCAGGTAGAAGCCATGCAGTGATGTATATAGATCATTGCAAAATAATAAGCTGTAGATCCTGGACCAGTAGCTTTAGCAACTCTTGGCTCCAAATATCAATGATGTAAATTTAAAGCGTGAACACAGTTTCTACCACCTTCTGGTTCAAGCAATCTTTCTCATGCCTTTAGGTGTTGGTAGGGGCTGGAGTTGAGAAAAGTTGGCTGAGTGTATTATTTGCAAGATGGGCAATGCAGGCTAGCCAGGCAGAGGCTACATGCACAATTCGCTTCACATTCCTACGCATTCGTGACGCGAAACTCTGGTCACTAGGGATTCCCTAATCGCCGGGAAACCATTTTATGGGAGCTGCCGGTAAAGCACTCTGTTGCGCAAGTCTAATTGAGAAGAAAACCTTTAATGAAAATATTTAGTCCAAGGCGGTGCATTGCGTGCAGATCATTGGTTAGACCCAGCTGTAGCCTACTAGCTCCACAAATTATTTCCAAATAAATAAATGTATAACATTGGGCGCAAGGACGGCTTTTCACGGATTTACCCCAAAGTTTTTGTAGATATACAGTCCAGATCAATGCACCCTAATCTAATGCCTTCGGCGATAAACGCGTCCTGTGATAGCTAGGTTAGGCGTGGATAGACGTGAACTTGGGATAGTGGTGGACCAAGCTGGTGAAATGTAGAGGAACGTCATACATTTGAGATGAGATTAATTGATACTATGTTAATAAAAAGACATCGCTCCGTTACTTACGCGTCTCTCGCGCTAGTCTTCATTCCACATAATGGTGAGGATCCTAAACCCCAAGTCTCACGGCAAGCGAGCCGCCGAGTTTCAAGGTCACAAGAAGGGCGGCTAAGCGCCCCACTCCGCCCCTTCTATATTCTGACAGTTTACTTTGCCATGTATCATCGATTGTACATTATCTGGAGTATGGGGAATTTCATGTACTCGAGGAGTAGTTAGAACTTTTATAGATATACAAGTTTACACCGTGTCTCAAGCTCTACACACACCTAGACTGTCGTAGTCGGAGCCATGGGACATTCGTGAATTTCAGTCAACATTTGTCATTTTGTTCTTACTCAAGTGCCCAAGATAGCTCAGTACCACCGCACCATCCAGCCATGGCAGAGCTTACAGTGTCGCCTACCCTCGCGTCTTGCTTGGGAGGCTCAATAAAAGTTGCTTTTTTTCGTAGACGTTTATCGAGATACAGCAAAATCGATGCTCGTTGCCGCTAAAGCCGCGCCTTCCTCGATTGTCATGCCGCCCTCCTTGAGGTTCCGAGCGCGCGTTGTATACTTAGTATACAATGGGTGTGGGTGTGAGATTGGGGTGATATCACGTCGTGTCTCGTGGCTCCTAACTACAACGGATCTTGTGTAGAGCTTGAGACTAATACGTGAATTCTATATCCTTCAAGTGTCGGATGTCTATGTGTCTATATACATTGATTACTCCTTACTCCTCAACGCTAGTAGATCTACTGCTGTGGTCGTGGGCTGTGACCGCGGGCTCTGACAGTGCGATTTGCTGCACGTGAGGTCATAGGATAATTACGATTACGTGTGTGTGCCGTGTTTCCTACATCTAGCTAATTCGTGCCCTGTAGATCTATCCGGGATCCACATTCTTGGCCCTTTCAGCCGCTACACTGGTGAGCAAGTTGAGGCGCTGGCTATCTATTGTTTCGAAAATTCGTCATACTGCCATGGTTGCTTCTTCCATTCGTATATTTGCTGTTCATGCTAGAAGCTCTGTCCAAGCTACCTCCACGCTTGCCTCGTGGATTGAAAATTCCGACAGGTTGCTTTCTGCCACAAACACGTCTATTCGCACAAGAGAACCTTCTCCCCGCCACTTCACAGGTTTCGCGAGCACCTGCAAACTTGTCAGGGGGGCGAGGTGCATTTTTTTTTTTTATAAATTTTAGGTCCTAAGCTATGCTCTATATCTCCTAGGAGTCAAGGACCGGGGCGAGGTGCGTTGTCAACGTAATAGAGAGTCTGGTGGATCAAGGTTAGGTTTAATTAGAGTACGACACCATCTATATCTTGGCCGGCAAAGACCAATTCTTCACCTTCCAGTGGTGCCGGTGTAATGGCTCAGTATGCTCCGCATATCTAGGATAGCCAAGAAGAATCTCATTCGAATCGAAGTCGAAACCAATCTCAAGCATATCTTAAGTCGACGACTTCTTGATAAATGTTTGACCCATCATTCTCACGCAAGTCCTCCTGCTCAATCTTACTACACCACCTCGCCTCGAATATCGATCATGGCGTTACTCCAATTATAATCGGGCATTTGCCTCATCAAAAACAGGCCATCTCCCACTACAAATTTACGGTGCTATGTAAACCCGCGAGCAGGAAATTAAGTCACAATATACAAAGGGCTGGCCTTGGTCTATGGGGGACTGAGGTTGGAATGGGGCTTGACACCTTTAGGGAGGACAGGTATCTGGAACGTGGGACGAACGAGTGAGTAGGTCACAAATGGGCGCGCTGGAACGCATATTTTTTGAGTGTTTTGGACTTAAGAGTGTCTGAGAGCGTAGAGGCAACGAATTCGGATAGTGCTACCGATGCTCAAAAAACAGGCAACAATAGAAGGTGTTTAGGTCCGACTCCTGATCGTCATATCCCCGAATTAAAGTCTGGATAGCCTACTCACTTATCTAACTCGAGAAAGAGAGGACTGTGAGGCCAAACCTCGCGCGGCGCTTATATACAAGATGACTAAGGCATGTTAGGGCAGCCAATTGTTTTCCTGTTTTCCCCTTGGATAATAACAGTTGAGGGAAGGGTGAAATCCCTAGCACCAAGGTCTCGAGTGGTATCAGCAATTGCACCCACTACGTGACTAGTCAAAATGTCAAAATGAGTCATTGCTGTATATAAAATAAACGATTAATTAAACTGATTTGGCGCCATGAGTCCCATGCAGGTTTTTATCGGATGATATGTACTTTAAGTATGACGACTCAATTCAACGTTTAGAACGCTCACACTCAGGTTTAATTTGCAGATACTACTCGAGGTTAACCCTTATGGCGTGTAACTGTTAAGGAATGAGATGTAGATTCGTGTCACGTGACTTTAAACCCTTGACACGTCACCCATTCTGTATATAGCTTGACGGAACTCTTGGTAGGTTCCGTTTCCCCATTGCAGGCAATCTATTCCACTAGATTTGAACTCGTCGATTTATCTTCCTTTATTGTGACGTGTTGTCCACCTCTACCACATAATACTGCCAATGCGCATAAAATATCGCAAATTTGTATCTAGCCTGTGCAATCACACTATTCCATATACACTTTTAGCTACCAAAACAGAAAATAACCCTTGGAATCTAGAAGGCACTGAAATACCGCAATACCAACCAAATGCCTCCTTAGTAGAAAGATTCCGAGAGCATGATGCAGTCTTCTCGGAAAAGCACCCACTCCTTTGCTCTGTTCCAAACCAGCAGCTGTTTATCGAGGCTATGCAGAGTGGGATTCATGGTAGTAACGCAGCACAGCTCAGCGATGAGATTATGACACTGGCGAAAACTTAGATTCAGTTAGAGAGTGAGCTCCTCCAGTACAGGAATGACTATGACACACTCCTCGAGAAAAACCAGGAGCTCGCAGCCATCAGCTCAAAACTAGAGAGACAGAAAAAGACTGCAAGTATAAGTAGCTCGCAGTTGCAGAAACAAAATACAAGCTTGTAGCAGCAAATTAACATTGCCCAACAACAAAATAAATCCCTACTTCAGCAAATTCAGAACCTGGACCACCAACTAGCGACCTCTCGTCAGAATCCCCCCGTCCCACATCAATCAGCCAATCACCCTGACCCGGACGCGTTCTACGCTAATGACTCTGCGTCACGGAAAGAACTACCACTATTCATTGGAAATATGAACATGAAGTTTATAGCTAATAGTGATTGGTACCCTTATAAACAATGCAAGATGCTGTGCTTGATCTCCTGTTTAAAAGGCAAAGCTTACTCCACAATATCGCACGGCATCAACAAAGATGGCACAACCAAATTCGCTTCATGTGAATCTATCCTAGTACTTCTTGAACAGGCATTTATAGACGTGGATGAATGTAATGCTGCCAGAAGGGAAATTTTCAGAATTAAGCAAGGCAAAAAGGATACATCAACGCACATCTCTAACTGGTTCGATGTGGCACAGAAGACAGGACTTTCTGACGATGCATTAATTAACCATCTCTATGACTCGTTACACTCAGCAATAGTATCTCACATCTAAAATCGTGTGATGATACGCCAACCACTTCACACAGACCTAGCGTCATATCTCGTCGAAGTCCGACATATCAACGCAGTCCTACGGTCCTCTAATCCTGGGTATACCAAGTCCCAATATTCTACAAGTAACCATCAACTTTATAGTCCTCCTGTCCCCAGCTTTACAACCTACCCTGTAACATCAAATACCACGCCTCTACCCGGGGAACCAATAGACCTGAGTGCCTCAAATCTTAATTGTAATTTCATGGTGAGATATTCTTGAACTAGAGTCTAAACAGAGGGTCTGAGGATAAAGTTCACGGAACAGGTTTTTCGGCTCACCCTCAACGCTTGCACTTATATGGTGAGACCAGATATTGCGCCAACTGGAATCAATATGGTTGAGGTCACAGTTTGTCACAGATCAACTATAGAAAGCAAGGAGCATTTGTATGGATGATGGTATTTTATAATTCAACTATGAAGACCTAAGTTCTACATACTAATCCAGGTATATATACAGATTTATTACATTCTAAGTTCTTCCCTCCATGGTCAGCTCATCTCTAGATGATTCCAGTTGCTACTCTAAGGGTATCATTTCTAGCCGCTTCTCCAAGGTTCAGTATCAGTCTTACTCACATGGAGACTTTTCTAGTCCCTTCTTAGGAGATTCTAGTATCTTTTACGTGGCTTTTGCGCCTACCCGTTCTCCGGTGGTTGTACGCCAGTACTTGCC